AAAAAATGATACAAATTGCATGACAAATTTTAATGACTAAGTTGCAAAAATATGGCTAATGTAGCAAATGTGATACAATTTAAACACATATGCAGATTATAATTTGATATATTTTTTATACATGTCGTCTAAAGGGTCAACATACACTCCATTATCAGAAAAATAAAGATTTCTGGCAGTTATTTCATGGTTCAGGTTTTAAAGGGCTGGTTTTGCTGGTGCCCGTGTCACTGCTGGCAGCATTATATATTATGAGCTCCTGATGAGATGTTGTCCTGATTCATCCAGGCGGGACCATCGGTGAGCTCTGTGCTGATATTGATTTAGAGTCCTATTCATTCTCTCTCTGATATTCACCATGTAAAAGGACATTAAATCTTGTGAACTGTTTGCAACTTATTTACAGAACAGATTTTGAAAAGTGCTCAGTAAATTCACTTTTTGCAAATTTTTATTATTACTGCATAAAACACTTTTTAATGAAACATTTTGTTTCCATATTTTCACTCTATACTGTTTCACTTGTAATTCACAAGTGATTTATTGTTCAAAAAGCTGAACACAAATATGATTCTATTTTAAATAGAGTTGTGTTTGATGTACTTTTCACCATGAACGTTTGTTTTTTGTTGATGTCAGTAATGCCATTAGCACAAATAAAATCTGACTTAGAGACATTTTTAATTCATTTTAACTTTACTTAATAATTCTGCACGTCAGAGTTTTAAGTTGATGTTACAGGCATTAAAAGTCCTGTTGTAGTCATGAAAAGCAATGACAGAGCTACATTAAAGTAAAGAGAATATTAAAGTCAGTGATCATCAAAAAGATATAAAACAGTATTCATTATTGTTTTTTTTTTATTTATTATTATAACAAAAATAGATTTATTATATCAAATTACAACCACATTAATGCTTTTAGATTTGTTTTTGTTTACATTAGTAAAGAGTAACCCATTTTCTTCTATGGTCTACTACCACTTATGTGATGTTGCCTTATTTTTGTAATCCCTGTGACTCAAAGTGCACAACACTCCACTCTTTGGTCTGAGTGTGCCAGCATCCAGGATGTCAAAGGTCTGTCCCGGGACGAGAGTGAAGTCAAACCTCTGGAGCAGTTTGGCCATCACCACTTTAGCCTCCATCTAAAAAACACAACAGCGCCCA